ATTTTGTATCTTCATGCATTCATCTACAAGGCCATTTAAAATGATTTTACTAAGCTTGACAGACAACAAGATTGTTTCCTGAAGCAGATTTCCTTCATTTTTTCTCACTTTAGTCCATTAGGAAATCCATTTTATTTTCTCCACTGATGAGTGGGTATGGAGGGGAAAAGAAACATAAAAGCAACAGTCTTATACATCTTCAAAAGCATTCAGAAGGGGGCTGGAGAGCAGGAAACAGTGAGGTTGTTAAAGCTGTCCAAAGAAACAAAAAAAAAATATCCCCATCCATACATATAAATACTGCATTTAACAGGTGAAACAACTTCTTGGTAGTTTTGGCCTGAGCTGGCAATTACGAGAAGCTGGTATTTCTCTTTTATTTAAATTTTATCTTTTAGAAGCAGGGTGGTTCAGCTCCAGTGTCATCACCTGTTTCTGCAAAATGCTGAACACTATTTTCTATGAAAAGCTGACTGGATTGAAATTACACCTTGCATCATTTCATAAGCAAACAAGAGAAACAGGGACTGCAGACAGCATGGAAATGAAGAAGTCTGTATTTGCAAGAGACAGACAACATAATCTAACTTGTACATACAATTCAGTTTTGATAGCAGTTTCTCCTGGAACTGTATTTGGAGGCATTTCAGGCTTGAAATTACAGGTTTAGCTATTTACTTCATATAGCTATAACATACTCTCAGAAGGTTATGAAATATTAATGAGTAGAAATGGCTATTCCAGCACTCGGACGCCTGCTCTTAATTCTTATAGCAAGGCCTTTTAGACAGATTTCTATCGAATTTAGCCAATCAATACTTCAGATTGGCAAATAAATTTGGTACAGAAATAACCACTGCTAAGCAAGTGCTAAGTAGAAAGTAGTTTGACGGGAAAACTACAGTTTGTAGATCAGAAACAAGGGGACATGCAGAGGTCTGAAAGAATCAGTGTTTGGGCTCAAAATAGGCTAGCTTGGACCAATATAATTAATGATGCTTTTGCTCAGACACAACATAAAATATTACATGTCAAGTCTGGAAAAATCCATTTAGCTTTTAATCATACTTCTTTGTCCCTCATTAATTTCTTGAAATACAGGCACCTACGCATGAATTTTACAAAATCTGCCACTTAGGTTTTACACATAGATCACTTAAAGGTTTACCATCAATTTTTTTCCTGATTGCGTTAATAGCGTAACTGCATATAGACAGAAGTATACTGGCCTTTTTTATTTCACTTTTCCAAACACAATGAGTTATTACGGTATAACTGTCAACATAGCAAGGAATAAGTAAGGAAAGATTACAGTTAAAGGATCACTGCTTACAGTACAATAATACTTCCCTTGAAAGTAGGTAAAGATTTAGGAGATTTCCAAGTTTTATCAGCTAGCACTATGAACTACATGAGGGACCATTTCTATCATTTACCACCATTTCTAAGAATTAGTCCAAGAAAGTATTATTAATACCTTTATTTAGTTCTTGAAAGATCTGGTTTTAGTAATAGAACAGGTAGTAAAACATGAATTATATTGCTTTAATATATATCACAATGTAACCTGTAAGTTTGGTTCTCCTCTTTCCCCCCCACTCCCCAGCTTAATAAGGGAGAGAAAACCTGAAAGGGCATTTGTCTCAGTGAGGAAAGTGTAATAAAGTTACATTCCCTTTTATAAAGATTTTAAATAGGGATAGAAGTGCTCCAGGCCAGCTCTGACAGGTACGGTAAACAATTTTCATGAAGAAAAAAAAAGTAGAAAAGCATGTTCTTAAAAAATAATGAAAAGAATGGGCCAGAAAGGACTGAAGGGATAATTCATTAGCCTAGTGCCAGACCATCATTTTAATTACTCGTAGTGCTATTTTTAAAGGTATGAGGTGGGTTTGGTTTTTATTAGCAATTCACCTTTGTGCTCTCTTACTCCCATTTTTCTAGTCCAATAAAACCCACAGAATTGTTCAGAAGTGCTATGCAGCAGGAATATGTCATAGACATACAAGTTGCTGCAGCCAGCTTGAGCATCTAACTCCTCTAAATAGCTGACAGCATTTATGTAGACAGAGCTGTGTGGGAGAGCTTTCCCCATCTCCACTTCCTTCAGGTAGTGCTCTACAAGAACACAGTTGAGGAAAATAACTCACCCCCTGCAAGCAGCAACTCCACAGTGGAAAACGCAACAGCACAAACTGAACAGCAGCAGATGAGGAAATGTGACCCAGAGAATACCCCTTTTCACAGTTTATCTTCTGCTACCATTTTTCTGCTTAGAATAGGGCAAATATGTCTCTTTCTTCTATAGCTACCTGACTTAGTGGAGCTTGGTGCAGATTTAGCTGTAGATTTCTTATTCATTCATACCACAGTCAGTCATATGTAATTATAATGAAGATATTAATATATTAGTATGTATTTATAACTATATATCACATAATTCATAGCTTAATCCATATCATAAATGTCATGTTAATTCCATACTAATTCTAATCTGAAGATTTATACCTGTGATTTTTAACCAAAAAAATACTATTCTGAGAACCTAGGTATCCAGCATATGTTTAGGTACTTAATTCCTATTAAATTCAGTGTCTTGGATTTAAGCATTTCCATATTTCAGGGACTCTTGACAATGGTCACCACACAATGAATCTCTGCAGACTTCAGGGAGGGCAGATAAAAAGGAAGCAAATACTCCAGAGGCCTGTCTGTAGGAGCTAGTTTCCATAAACATCAGGCATAGAGAAATATTTGTTTAGTCTGGATGATGATCATACTATATCTAAAAGAGTACATAACCAGCTGTCCAGAATTCATAAGCTAAGAAGTGATTCTTTTCGTCTAACAGCAGCCCACATTTCACTGCTCTTTGTAGTAGCTATGTAACTCTATTCTTCATGTTTGTTATGGGTTTGTTGTCCTAGGTTGTGTGCCAGGTTTCTGGCAGACAGGAATTCTGTCCCTTGCATGCCTCAGTGAACTACCAATGAGCTACTTCTGCAACAATTATAAAGGCATTTACAAATTACAAAGACATTTACATTTGTACACTTGTACTTCTCATACATGTACTCCTTTCCTGCAGAGAAGAGCACACTGATGATGCATGATCCAGAGAGTGGAACCTGTGGGTGACACAGGAGTATCAGCTTGCTCCACCAAGATATGCTAATTCCCCACACAAAGCATTTCCCAGATCAGTTGTAAGCACACAAAAGTAACAAATGTGCATACTCGCAGACAGAGAAAAGCTCAGTTATTGCCCAGAGTTTATCTAATCACATAGCAAATGAGTTTCCACAGGGTGATATTTCAAAGCAACCACGTCAGCAGTGAGATTTAATTCCCACTGCACACTGAGCAGCTTCAGGACCCTGTGGGGGAACATAAAAGAAGCCTCCATGCAGATCAGTAGTTCTTCACAGCAGGAGCAGGGTGGCATTTTATTGCTTCCAGGTCAGCCAGGGAAGCAAGACCCCCCTCAGACCTTCAGTGTTTGCTACTGGCCAAGCACCATCATAGCAGCATCAATACCTGGGCTTTCTGTACCATCTGTGGGTCCAGTGGCAACAGTGCAGTACAGAAGAGGTAGCAAGTAGAGGCTCTTGTATACCTGAGGGGCAATGCTGGAGACTACACCTTAACCCTAGTCCCAACCCAGTAGGCACCTAGAAAAAAAACATCCAACTTGTTCCAATGGTAATATAGAGCAAAAATGATTAATATATATATATATATGCACAGAATTTAGTGCTCCAATTCTTTGGAGAGAAAAATAAGGTGGGGGGAACTTACCCAGTGTAGCCTTGTGCAGTGAACTGTCAGGGGAAGGCAACCAAGACAGAGTTCTTTGCCTCATAAGAGATGACAAAGGGGATTTTTAACACCATGTACGTGCTTTTGCTAGCTGGCCATGAGCAGCTCTCCTTAATGTTAGCCTGAGCAGGAAAGATCTGTGCTGCAATTCTTGTTACTCATTTGTGCACCCTGAGCGTGGAAATAAATATTTCACTGTCTTGTGCACAAAATGAGTATTAGCAGATTACAAGTCCTGTTTTCCCATAAACACCCCATTTCCTGGAAATAAGTGCCCTTTCCTGTTAGTTGGAGACTTCAAGTGCTGTCTGGCAGGAGAGAAAATTCAATATAGATCATGCCATATTCTAGGTCAGTGCTCTAACTGCTGGCTTTCAGTGCAGGAGCAGGTCATCCTGGTCCTGCTCCACTTCACCCATGTGTTACTTGTACTCTGCTTCTGTTACTCCCCTTAAACCTGGAAACTCTTAAGCAGATACTGCTAATTTTATGTGTATTACACAACAATCAAGTCTGATTCAACATGAGAACTCTTGCAGAGGACAGCAGAGCGAGACACAAACTTTACCCTCAAGACTGGCAAATTAAGTTGCTGTCTGCATTGTACAGACTAAGCAGCAGAGGGGGAAAATAGGCAAGTTGCCAGAGGTCACACAAGAAGACATCTGCAATACCATAAGGAGCTGAGACACCCCGAGCCCCATTCAGAACTGCAGACCATCACTTTGCTATAGCCTTGTAACTAGAATGACAAGGAAAGCTTTACCTCTGTAAGCCTGGAAGGGGGGTTCTCGGGTTTTATCAACTTTGTAAGCAGTTTTGTTCAGCTGCCTAGCAATGTTTGCCACTTCTGCTGCTTGAGAGGGTCTCACACTGCAGCAGGGGAGAAAAGGTTGCTGTTTGAAAAGCCAGGAAATATAAAACCATAAGGAATCACCAGAATAGCTGACAAGCAGGCAGAGCATCCTAAACCACTTCATACCCATCCCTTAATCAATTGAATTGCTTTCTGGATGATTAGACCCCTCAGGCTTTCAAGTCCCAGCATACAGACCAAGTAATAAAAAGGTACCTTTTGGTCTGCATTTGTACTTGTAGGATTCAAGGTCAAGTCCAAGTAGGAAATCTTCACACAAATCCTCAAGATGATGGCAGAAAAATAAGCTGAGAAGAAAATTAACCTCAGATGAAAGCTAGTAATAGTCTTGACTTTTGACTCCTGATGCTCTCCACAGTGAGAGGGTTATTATTCCTTCGCATCCCCTTAAAAAAGGAAATCCTAGGCAAAAGCACAAAAATAAGAAATGGATTTTTCTAAGGCAGCACTGCCACCTATTGTCACTGCTATGGTTTGCTCACTTTTTAATTGAGCCTCATTTTACAGCCCATCAAACGTCTGTTAAAACTAAAACCTTCCTTTCTCCCTCAATCCCAAACTGTTTGAATTAACTAAAACTCTCACCTTTTGCTGAAGATAAATCTGCCAGATACAACTCAGAATTTTATTACTGGACTCTATGGCTACAATGGAGAAAACAGATTTACCTCAATGCAAGCTCATGTCACAGTTCATGTTCTGCAATTTACTCTTGTCCTTTCCAATTTCTAGGTGAACAAATAACTGTTCCCTCTTACAATCAAACTCCAATGTTTTTTGCTAATTTCTCTATTCATACACTCATCTTATGCTCAGACCATAAATACTAGGAAAGGCCTAGAAAAATACCTAGTAGCACCACATGGGTCCATGTATAATCCCCTTCAGTAAAACTATGCATCATTGCTACTCAGAGAGTGATTTCATTAGCAAAGTTGACAAGGTGGCCAGCACCTAGCTCCTGAGGCAGACCTTTAGGTCTGCACCTACTGAGGCATCCTTCTGAGAAAGCCTAAGTAAGAACCTTCCAAAATCATCTAGCAGGTAGGTGATATGAAAGCAAGAATAAAGATCTCTGAAGGCACAGTCTCAGGGTTGTCTGATGACCCTCATGGCTGTTTCCTTGGCTGTGCTGGGCTACTGCGAGGGAGCCTGCCAGCACCACCTGCCACTATGCTTCCAAGCACATCAGATCACACTGATTATTATTGCACTTTGGTGACTCTATCTTTTACCACCCTGGGAAAAAGATTCAGTGGTGGAGACTAACCATGGTGTGACATTAAATACATTTGTATGTGTTCATATATCTGTATTATGATGAAAACAAAAGGTAGGACCTTTGAGCATCTTAGATATAATAGGAAGGCTACTAGCCATTGTAGGCTACTAGTACGGTAACAAGTGAATGAGTGATGTAAGTGCCAAAGCCTTATTTCTGCTGTGTGCTTTAACTAAAGTTTATACATGGGTAATTCCAAGTTACAGTCAATGTACTGTTACTGCTATGTATAAGCACTGAATAGAAGAAAACCAGGGAAGGATCAGGTGCTTAAGGTAACTTCTGGAACCACTTCTTGCTTTCTTCAGTTACTTTCAGTGCCCAGGTTATTGCACAAACAGTGGTGCTTAGAGATGATCAGGAAAGGCACAGAATAAGTTTACATACAAATGTGAGAACTCCCATAAAGGCCAGTTTGGCATGATTGCTGCCACAGTTAAGATGCTCTTTGCTCTAGCATTAGAAACCTTGCAGAATTATTGTCACCTTTGCAACATTTTATGTGTAGAAAAATATTTAATACAAGAATGAATAATTTCAGCACTTGATATTAAAGACTGAACTGAAAGTGCATATTCAGAAGGGAAAAAGAGGAAGCCTTATTTGTTTCTTTTCAGAAATTGTGGACACTGTAGATGTTCTCTGGAGAACAAGGCACTAGGGTTGACACCAAAAATTGTGCAAGACCAGCAAAAGAAGGTAGAATAAATTTACTTTCTAAGCAGTTCTAGAGTTCATCACAACTTCCAAGTACCCCTGGGGGAGGAGAGAAGCAAGAGCAAGGCCACAGTTCCTTCTTTGGGACAGCCCGATGGGTTCCTGGTGTCCTTCTCCAACCTGCTGTGGTCAGAGCTCACTTACAGGGGGAAACTTCCGCCTTCTATTACACTTCTAGAATTAAGATTATTTTTTAAATGATTTTTTTTCCCTGACTGCTTACAACCAAGGTGGTGGTTTCTCCTCTGGATGGATCTGGCCCTATCTTTTCCTTGAAGATGCTGAAGGTATCTCCCCTGCAAGCCCTGTTTGTCCATTCACTCCTCTGTAACAATTTGAACATGAGCTGTGGCTACAGAATGCACACCCTAGAGATCATTAGGCAAACACAAGTGTCTTTAGTGTTATCCTTTCCCTTCCATTACAGAGAATGCCTGCTTGGTTTGGACACTTAGTTCTTTCAGAAGTATACAAACAATTTCACTCCATAGCAAGTTTTTTAGAAGCATTATTACATACAACAGCAGTTTTGAAAGGTACGATCATTTCTTGAAAGTTTTTTCCAATGTGTTTTAAGTAACAAAAAGTTAAGCACCAAAGGGAGCTCTTGGTGAGAGGTGATCATTCAAGCATGAAAACTCATTTGAAAAATAATTACTGCAAGTCAAGTCAGTCCTATGTTCTCACCAGAAGCTGTTAAATCCTACAAGTTAACAGAATAAATGAACAAACAAATGAGGTGGGAGAGGGAGCAATAAAAATAAAAAGGAAGTATTTTAACAAAGACTCAATTGCAAAGTCAGGTAGGCAGCTGTTGCCACACAACTGGACGTAATATTGCGATACGGGATCTGGGGATTATATTCTTCAGGTTCTGAGAGCCTATTAGTGGCTTTAACTGTACTCTAAATAAGAAATCACCAGATCAACAAGCTGCATGCAGAGAGCGGCCCTGCACTGTATATGTTTATTTTTAGGGGAAAGTCATTTGGCTCCACATCTTTGCTTTTTCAGCATGACATCAGTAGGAAAAGATATTGCATTTAGAAAACTTTGTGACAGATCTCAGGCTGAAGTTTTGTGATTTTAAGCAACCTTTATCACATGGAAAAAACATCTGATGCAAGTAGAAGTCACCATATGGATGAATTGTAAAGTCTCCATAAACATGAGCCCCTTAGGGGGAGTTTTTTTCTTTATTATAATCATTTCCATTAGTTTTTTCTCCTTTTAATTCCAAAATTCTTGCCCTTTGACATGGCTGAGCTACCAGGAGTAACAATTAAATGCACAGCCCTAGCAGATAAACAGGAGTGTGTGAGATGGAAGGGCACAGGGCTGTGAAATATCAGGAAGCTGACAGGACTCATGATGACCTTGTTCCCTGTGCCAGGGCCCATGCCCATCACTGAACACAGCTTGGTGCAAGCACAGCACAAGCCAGGTCACTGCCCTGTATGTGGCAATAACTAGAATAACAAGGATACCTATTCTTACTGTACTTCTCTCTTAACCACTCTTTAGTGATTTTATTGTCCCCTATTACTTTGATTGCTCAGGATTTCCTACAATCCCCTCCCACACCTCACAATCTATTTCTCCTAATTATTATTTCCATCTACCTTTGTTTTTCTGGCTTTTCCTGCCACATGAGATCAAACTCCCCTGCTGCTCTCCTACTGAGTGCGAGTCCAATGAGCTATACAAGTATATACTTCTATACCCAAGTAAATCATTAAATTCTAACAGGCGAACTAATATTAAGCAGAGTCTCATGTCATTTACTAGGCAGGGTTAATTTTTGTGGTGCACTGACCCCCAGGATCTCATTTCATAATCTTTTTTCCATCCCACCAGGATGATGGGGATCTCGCAATAGCACATGTGCATATCGTGTTCTACAGATAACAGTGGGTTGATATTTGCTGCCTGTCATTGCCTTTATCTCACACTAAGGAGCTTTTACCCCAGAACTCAGGTAGCCCTATGAAAAACTGAATAAAAATACATTGCCTCTGATGAATCGTATTTTCACCAGCCCCAGAAGTCCCTGGAAAATAATGATATTTTAATATTTATATGTGCCCTCTTGTGGAGATTCTAATATTAGATTTTCTTACTTTAAGGCTTTACCCAAAATCAGCTCCTCTGAGGGATGCTCCTTTTACCCTGGAAACCGAGACGAGAAACGTCCTTGCAGCAGCAATTCCTGGCTCCATCTAACACACACTTGCAAACACCTTGTGCTTCAGATAATGCAAAAGAGAAGAGACAGGCCAGCACTGCTGACTGGTTGTGGGTTTGGGAAGGTCAAGCAGCACAAAGGCCAGTTATTCCTCATTTGTGGTGCATGGACTCAAGTGGTTTAAGCTACCCAAGTCTGCCTGTACAGTCCTTAAACTACACATCTTCTGAAAGAGAAACAGAAGAACCTGCTGTGTTGCTAGACCACCTCAGAGTCACTGCCTTTCCACAGAGAAAACTGGAATTGAAGTCAAGTGTTCAAATCATACCATAGTTAGATATGACTATATCCTTATGACAGGCTCAGGTTTTTCTCTGTAAGGTCCCATAGAGTTAAAAAGGGATTTCTGGTGTTTCAGGGCACATTAAGTCATACAATCCCTTTCATAAATATCCCTCAGAAGCTTAAGGATGCATTTCACAAGTCCCACTTCAGACAGAACAAGGGCTGTACACCCTTGCTACTGACTTCACAATGCAGGCTCACCTGCATTGGTACCAGCACTCCAGCACAGGGGCCAACACCACACACAGAGATGGCAGCACCTCCCAGCTTGCCTGTCACCTGCCCTCGATGAGGTGAGACCCAGCAGCCAGATCCTGGGCTGGGCTTCTGCTACCAGAGGTAGCAGCAGCTGCAGCTGCTGCTGCTTCTCCTGCAGCAGACCTCAGAATCCATCTTCAAAAAGGGGCTTCCTTCCAGTCTCTTCAAGTATTTTCCTGTTGATATTTCCAATCACAGACTGCCAACTTGCATTTGTTGTCCTCTTCCCACCCCTTTCTACCACCAGTGTAAGACACTGAGCTATAACACTACTATGAGCTATTTAGAGTTGAATATTTCATCTTAGACTTTCAACGCTGCAGTTTTGGGTTCCTTGAATATTACCCAACATAATGCAAGAATATATATATATATGTGTGTGTATATATATATATATATATATATATAAAAGCATTACACTAATACTGAAAGCACGGAAGGGGATAAAGAAAAATCGATAAGTGTTAACAACCTTCCACTACAAATCTACCTTTACCGCACAACAGGAATTTTTACAATTGGAAACCATTGTTAAGGGATCAGAAATGCAAGATGCTAGACTACTTTGTATTAGCTGAAAATACACTCCTATTTCAAAGCTTTTTTTTT